CTTGCCTAGCATATGTGAGGCACTGAGTTTAATCCTCAGCACCACATACAAATACATAAATAAATTAATTAAATAAAGGTCCATTTCCAACTTAAATAAATAAAGAAATAGATAGATAAATAAATAAATAAAATTAAGGTTTATCAACAACTAAAAAATAAAAAACTTTTAAAAAATTGAATAATATTGCAAATAAAACTCTGAACTTTTTACTCCCTCCTTTCCTACAGACCTTTGCCTAAATGTCACTGTACTAGGGAGACCATCTCTTGACTAACCTGTAGATACATAGACACAAACACCCTATCTTTATTTTCCATGAAACAATCACCATTCAATTTGATATATTTCTTTATCATGGATATTCTAGAACACAAGCTCTGTGAAAGCAGAGTTGAATTTTGTTCACTTTTGCATACCAGCTTCTAGCAAAATGCTTGGCTTATAAATGCCAAAAAATTGAAATGAATGAATGGAATATAGTATGTACTAACCATAACAACAATTATTTAATAATGAATAATATTTACTGATAATTTACTGTGTGCCAAACAATGAGCTGAGTGTGTTACACATATTATCTTATTTTAATCTTCACAACAACCCTATTTCTATATACTTTATACCTGTTAGGAAACTAAGGTGTTCAGAATTTAATGAGTTGAACTTAATAACTTCTGGATCCCCTTCCAATTCTATCAACTTTTCCAAACATTCACTTGGTTTGAATGTTTTTGTCCCCTCCAAAATTCATATTGAAACTTAATCTGAAATGCAATAGTATTATGGTATGTGGACATTATGAAGTGATTGAATTACGAGGGCAGAGCCCCCATGAACAGGATTAGATGCCCTTATAAAAGATGCCCCTTTTTTCCCTTCTGTCACTTCTGCCCCGCAAGATACCATGTTCCTCGCCTCCAGCGGGTACAATAGCAAGGCATCATCTTGGAAGCAAAGAGCAGCCTCCATCAGACACACAACCTGTTAGTGACTTGATCTTGGAACTTCTCAGCCTCCATAACTGTGAGAAATAAATAACTATTGTTTATAGATGACCTAGTCTGTGGTATTTTTATAGCAGCATAAATAGACCAGTTGGTAAAGATAAAATAATTTGTTCCTAAAACAAGGATTTAAGGTAATTTTCAGAATTGTATTTTGTTGTTTCCATTCAATGAGAAGAACCTTGTTTTCAGTTGATGTGCCTTTTTAAAAATATTTTTAGCAGTAGATGGATATAACTTTATTTATTTTTATGTGGTGCTGAAGATCGAACCCAGTGCCTCCCACATGCTAGGCGAGCATGCTACCACTGAGCCACAACCCCATCCCTGATGTGCCTGTTTTAAAACCAGAGCTTTATGCCAGGTACAATGTTGCATTCTGTAATCTCTGTGTCTCAGGAGGCTGAGGTAGGAGGATCACAAATTTGAGGCCAGCCTTAGCAACTGAGTAAAACACTGTCTCAAAATAAAGGGAACTGGGGCCACAGCATAGTGGTAAAGTGCCCCTGGGTTCAATACCTAGTACTTCAAAATAAATAAATAAAACCAGAGTTTTGTTAATCATTGCATTAACAAAAGCAATAAGACTAAGCATATCTTTTGCCCAGTAATCACACTTTCAAGAAACATTCCAAAGAGAAAAAACAAATGGAGACAGATGAAAATAATATATATAAGGGTGTTTATAACAGTGTTATTTAAAATAGTGAAATTAAAACAAATTTTTATTTTAATTTGTTATATATGAAAACAGAATGAATTACAATTCATATTACACATATAGAGCACAATTTTTCATCTCTCTGATTGTACACAAAGTAGAGTCACAGCCTGTTATCTTCATACATGTACTTAGGGTAATGATGACCATCACATTCCACTGTCTTTCCTACCCCTTTCACCCCCTCCCTCCCTCCCTCTCCTTTTCCTCTTTGCCCTATTTGAAGTTCATTTAATCCTCCCATACCCACCCCCAGAATATTATGAATTAGTATCCTTAAATCAGAGAAGTCATTCATCATTTGATTTTTTGGGATTGGCTAGTTTCACTTAGCACTATATTCTCCAACTCCATCCATTTACCTGGAAAT